AGCATACCTTCTAGAATGAGACAACTAAGAAATTTCTGTATAGAAGTTTAAAAATTCGAATAATATTGTACAAGTTTCATATGCAAATATCAATACAGTGCACAAATATTTTCATTAAAGTTTAAAATGTACATCAAGATTAATATTTAGATCATCTACAAAAATACCGTCTTCACTTCGAAAAGATTGATGCCTGCCCCATTTTTTTTTTCCTGCTTAGTACTCATCAGAATCGCAATCATTTAATTCCTCCTATACCCCATCATCTTCTTTCGCATCACCATTTAGTTTTTCACGTCTCTATAACCTTTGATATATCTACTTCTTTCCTTGTGTTATCTGTTTTTCTTCTGTTTTAATGCTTTTTACAGTTATTTGGAGTTCTATCCATTTTTTTAATCACTGCAGCCCCCACATTAAAAGGTAACAACAAAAATGGATATTTCGATGTTATGCATTCTCTTTTTCTTCATATAACTTGCAGTGTAGGTTTTTTTTTTTTTTTTGATGGAATTAAAAAAATTGAATCCATTTGATTTTTCCTTCAAGATTTTCCCCTTCATCTTGACGATATAATTAGACCACACTGTTTTAGACAAAGAACAAAGTTTCTACAATTGTTTAAAAGTTATGATGCTCGAACTCGGGGTATGGGTACGTATCTAAGTATCAGATATTTTATTTTCTAAAATGTAGAATACGGGGGCATGGTTAAAAAGAGTCCAATTTCAGACACTCGTACGGGGGTACATCTTTTAAACTTTAATTTTTTTACTAATCCAACATCATTTTGAATAAACCAAAATCAATTATTCACAAAGAAGGAAATTGATATTGAATAAAGGGTTAAGACGAATAAAATAGAATTTTAGGATTCAGTTTTCAATTATGGAAATTACTAAATGTTATATAAAATAGAAAATGAGGGATTAGATTGCAATTTGGACTTAGTGGATCACTAAGTAGCATTATATGGAACCCATTTTCATTTTATACAAACAAAACCCTAGACCACCTATAGAGAAAGAGAAAGAGAAAAGAAGAAGAAGAAGAAAGGTAAAACCAAGCGCCTCCGCCTTTCTCCACCCTCTAGACGACAATGCTAGGTTTATAGAGAGTAGAAACGGGAAGAAGAAAAGGAAAATAAAGGAAAAGAAAAAAAAAAAGTAAAAACGACGAAGTGTCCGGTTGAAACTTGAAGGATCCGACACATATCCCATACTCATACTCATATCGTGTCGTGTCGTCTCCTACACGGGTACTCCGACTATTTCAAAGAGTCTGAGCATAAAAGGTTAAAAGGAATAAAGAGTTCTAATTTCCAAAATTCCAGCTGCATTGCGTTTCAATTCATCAAAGAAATCCTATGTTTAACTTGTATCTACTTTTTTTGAAAGGTGATGTTTCTATTTCATGGCTAAAAAATAATAGATTCTCACTATATTTTGATCTTGTCACTTGCAAGTAGTAAAAGATCTTAACTAAAAGTGTCTTAATAAAGAAGAGGAATATAATAAAACCTCAATACAAAGGGAAAAATGAAAAGCATATGAAACTATTCGAAGAACCCAACCAAGGGATTGGCAGTCTTCCCTATTATAAGGCTGCAATTTTCCCATTAAATAAAGCAATCTCAAAATGAGTAAATTTATGGTATTCAAGCATGTTTCTATTTGTAATTTAAAGCACACTAAGCATAGTCCCTATACATATATATGATGATAATTAGAAAGAAGGAAATAATTCAACTCATTTGTAGAAGTGGGAAATAATATGTTCAACATCTCTTTCTTCTAAGAGGATTTTTAGGAGGACAAAAACAATATAAATTAACTTACTAAATTGCATTGTATTCAGAAATTAGAGTATAGATGAATTAAAGTCATCTTATTCTTATTACTGCATAATAAGCATATTAGTTAAATCTTCCTTGATTCAAGATATGTTAATTCAGAATTTTTAAATTCTCAGGATTCTAATTATTAGTTTGATGTTACTAGGAAAATATCATATAATTAGAAGAAAAAAAAATTATTTACCTTTGGGTCATCTGCAACAATCTGGTGGAGGATTATTTAGACTAAATTCAAGCATAACCCAAGAGGCCTGGACACCGTTTGGTAATTTTCCCTGATCTCGAAGAGTCTTTCAAAACCCAAGAGTTTCACCATTCTGCATTCTCTATGATGGTTACATCATCACTTATTGCTTGCCAATATCCACGATTTAGTATTTTCTCATTTTCATATTTTATACCCCTTTGTGCAAAGAAGAACCATTCTTTCTCTCCATTCTTCCCGTAATAACTATGCGAAACTAAAAAAAAAAAATTAAATAAATAAATTAAAACTTGAGAAAGAAAAGTTGCTTGAAAATTATAAACAGATATATAAACTGATTTCATTTTACCTGCAAGTTCATGTTTCACATTGTGAATACCAATAAATGGCTATCCATTAAAAAAAATAAAATAAAATAAAACCGAAAAATTCAAAATTTGGATAAGAAATGGAGTTTGTTTATAGATTCAGAGTATACGAAAGCTTTGGATTTCAAAACCCTAGTTCAATTCGACCCTTCCCTCCCTCTATCTGTCCGAGGGAAATTTAAAAATATGTAATATTTATATGGCAAATAAATACCACTAAAGATTTCCATGAATACCGCTATAGATTTTCCATAAATTAATTAAAATTGATAAATCTTGATTTTCCTGAATAAACTTAACAGCCATAGAAAATTCACATTTGACACGATTCATTGAAGACATTCAGCTAAATATAAATATAACAAAAGAATGATGAAATTTAAAAAAAGAAAAATAACTATAGTATAGTACCTTTCACAATTTCTTGTCTTCACTGAGTGGGAACTCTTCTGATGCTCAATTGATTTATGTTCGGCAAGAACTGAACAACTAGACGGAGTGTTGAGAGGTGAAGAGGCGGAGGGTCTTCTACTGTAGCTTTCCCTATCAGAAATCTGCAGCGCTAGTTTTCAATACACTCAATTGATTTAGGTACATTTGCAGCAGATGCCTCGTATAATCTCCCAAGATTCGAACTTTCAAATTGTAGTATCTTCATTTTAAACCTATACATAGAAAAGAACTTCTGTATTACACATTTGCAAGTAAAAGAGTAATTGAACAATTCGCGTGTGACTCAATATTTATTTCAGAAGGATAAATTTGACATAATTGTACTACGTAATCATTTGAATGGCGTTGAGTGAGTTAGTCCAGTTTGTTACGAATTTTTTCAAAATACATTATTTCAAAATTTATTTTCAACCACACATTTTTTAATAAAATAATATTTTTTATCATATCAAAAATATTTCCTTACTTTTTAAATACATATTTTACATCGTATCACTATTTAAAATACATTAATTCCTCAATAATATCCATCAAACACAAACTTTCATACAAAAGACATTTGGTTGACCAAATTTTCGTCAACCCCCATTTGAAAAATTTAGAGACTGTTTGACAATCATTTTGGAAAATAAATAAATAAAAATTTAAACAGTGATTTTTAAGAAAATATGGAGTTAAAAAGTATGATTTTTTTTTTTGTATATATGTAGAATATTTTTATTGTATGAATGTGTATTTAAAAATGGTCATGTAACAAATCATAAAATAAATTAAATATTATAAAAGATGCAATACAGTATATATACATAATCTAATTTTTAAAAAAATAAAAGAATAAAAAAGTACAAATGGGTTATAATTTGAACTGCATCATTGTCGATGGCCAATCCAACCTTCCTCCATGCTTGGATTCAACCCTGCATGGAGCACCATCGCTGCCTTTACATGAAGAAGCATCATCGCGTTGATTTCTGTAGACACACCTCCTCGAATCACAACCACCACAACCACATGCATCTCGCACGTCTTGCAATTGTCGGTTCAAGTCTTGTCGCTGGAATGCAATATCTCCGACTTACTGCACGAAAGCTTCAATGGACTGACGAATCAAGGTTATTTTGTCTTCACCGTTCCCATCATATGCCTGGGCACCACACTTCCTTTACCATGAAACCCTTGAACCATCTTCAAGAATGTAGACACATCTATGATACCAATTGATGTAGTGAAAAAATAGATAAAACCTCAACCACGACAATCAAGTAACAACCAAGATAAGTTCTGGGAGAGAAATACTCTCTATGTGCAGTTTTCTTTATATTTCAAAGTCCATCTGTAATTATAATTTACAAATAATGTTAGGAAATCCTAACAAAAAGTCATGAAGGAATAAGGAAACAAATTTAAGCAGTCCATAAAGATTAAGGAACAGACCGGACTGATTAAGCAAACATTGGAATGAATGAGGAAATAAAACAGAAAAAAGAGGCTTGTCAATGTTAAGGTATAAATCCCACATCAAATAAAAATGAAAATATAGACCAATATATAAGAGTTTAGGTTACTTTTCTTAACGAGTTAAGATAAAATCCCAAATCTTAATTGTGAGAACTCAGCCACGATGCACCAACACGCCACGTAGGGATGACAAAAAAAACCCGACAAACTCGATATCCGCGAGGCCTCACCCCGAACGGGGCGGGGATTACTCGCTTAATCCGGTATTCGGGGTGGGACGGGACGGAGAATTTTGCCCCAGAGTGGGAATAAGTAAAGGGTGTGGCGCCCNTTTAGAATTCAATATTTTAAATAGAAAATTTCACGAAATTTCATTAGAATAGAAAATGACAACTAAAATTATTTGTTTCGATCTAATGAATTATGAATGAGGCAATAAAATAAATTATCAAAAATTTAAAAAAAAAAAATACGATGTAGTTAACGGATTAAGCTAGATTATATTATTTGTTCTCTTCTTCATGTTTGTACAACATATTTTACATGATTTATCAGTAAGAGACTAGAACTAAAACAAAGAATCCGAATATATAGCAACTTCCTCAAGAGAGGGACCAGAGGGTTAGTATTTTTTCCTTTAGAATGATTTCTAGTTTCTTCTTCACATCCAAGAGGAAACTTTTGCCAGAGGTGTGCCCTTCCATTCCAACACCATCTCATTTTCTCTCTGTCCACTGATTCTCGCCGTGTAAGAATCCCCTGTTTGGTTTACGATCTGTTTAGCTTCGACTAAGATTCCTTGGCTCAGTTTCCTGCACTCCAATCCGGTTTCTAATCGAAGATCAGAACATTCTATTAATTCCTCCCAATCTTGGAACCAAGATTGGGAGCTCATATGAGGTGCTAGAAAAAGACACTCTAGGGCTGTTCTTGCATCTGCTAGATGAATTGAGAAGCTATGTTCTAACGATTCGAACAGTGCTTGATAGTGCTTCAAAATTTCATCGAAGAATGAACTATAACCTGAACAAGTTCTTGAATAAAACTCAGTTTCTCCATAACCAAGAGTCACCATTCCAGCAGAGGCTCCATATTGGGTTAGTATTTCCTTGGCTACCTTTAGAAACTCTTTGACATGGCTCCTCCGCCTCATTCTAGCCATGTGCGGAAGTCTAAACATGCAGTTGAACACCAACCACTCTCTGCCTCGTTCTCTCTTTTTCATCCTGGTTAATTCACTTGCTAGATCTGAAACACTCTTTTCTTCGATTTGTAGTTTCAGACCGAATTCTCTGGCATGATCTTGGAGCTGTCTTTTTGTGCACTCAACATCCCAACAAGGAAAGTTGAATGCATCAGCCGATTTTATCATTGTCAATTTCAGTGCCTTATGTGTTCGACTTATGGCCTCAATGACCGGAGGCCATTGTATCCCTTCTCCAATATCAAAATCTACTATATGCAGTGTTGCTGCATCGTTCGGCATAGATTCTAGGATTGCCGAGTTGGCAGTGAAATGAGCAAATCTCCCATACGGGAGGCCTTGGTAGAATGCCTTGAACGCTTCGCTAAAATTCTTGACTGATTCTTGTCTCAGGTAGTTGCTTTGATTTTCTTTCGAATGGAATAAATAGAAGGCCAGGCGTTCCATTGTCTTCCCTAGGGGATTGCTCTTCTCCTCTATGGAGTTCGAAAGCACCTGCGCAAGCTCCTTCTGTCCATTCTCTGTTGCCTCTCCATAAGCCCTTATCAGGTGATGGAGACTCGATTCGCTGTCTATTTCCATGACTCCTGGCAATGTTTCTGATTCGTTTGTTAAAGGAAACGCCACTGAATTCTCACTAGATTCCAATGAAAAACAAGGACTATATTCTTCTCCATCCATGGAGATTGGTGACGAATTTTCGTCACACTCTCTTTCATTTATCCATCCACAAATTTCTGCAATTTCTCCACTTGAAATAGTCTCCAATCCCTCCATGGGTGAAGTCATCAGAATTTCATCGCCCAAATTTGGAATATCAAAGTACCCATTATAAAACATGATTGGAATATGTGAGTTAGGAGAAATCACAGAGGATTCTTCAGGTGAATTGAATGAAGGGGAAAAATCAAGATCATCCCCCATGAAGAAGTCCAATTGTGGATCGCAAAATTTGCTTTGATCAAGGTTTGAGCTTGTAACTGTAAGGTTAAAGGTTTCCCAGGAGGGAAGAATTCCATCTGATTGCATCATTTTCTTTTTTGTATTTGAGGGCTGTTGAGTTCCAATGTCAAGTATCATTTATATATATCAATTTGGTGATAGATTTTGACACAAAACAAGAATAAAATATAGAAGAAAGACTCCTCTATTGTCTTCATATTAAATAGAATTTTATGATGGTAAAGTTCCATGAGAAGTCCCATTTCCTTCTTGAAGTCTTCTTGGAGAATTACATGCCAAATATATTATTAATATTGAAGAATAATTATCAATATCTGTCTACTTGGGACCCACAGGTCTCCTTCATTGTGAAAGAACAATATTTTCACAATTTTTTTTTAAATCTTATTCTCTATTGATGCTTATGAGAATAAGTACAAATTAGTATTAAATTTTTGCTGTTACGTGCTCCTGTTTGGTGCACATTTTTTCTCCAAGAATGCATTTTTTTTATGTGATGGGGAACATATGGTTGAAAAAGAAGGAAAAGTTATTGATGTGATGGAAAATATTATTTTATTAAAAAATGTGTGATTGAAAATGAGTACAAAATTGAGAATGAAAAAATAATGTGGCTCAAACAGGGACCTAATTTTATTTGTAATATACAAATTTAAAAGGAGAATTTTATTTGGCCAGAAGATTTTTTCTTTTGTAAAATTTACCGACAGACACAATGGCGGGGTGGGTGGGTGTATGTTATGGCATTTTTTTATTGATGCGGGACCCACCAATGTGTGTGTAGGTTAGTTTTTTGTAAAAACATTTTACGTATATCAAGCATTGCTCAATTTAAAACTCTTCATGCTTGTCCTTCAATGAATTGTTCATATCAATGGAATTTTTCCTTATTGTGAATCGTGTATATCCTTTTTATACATAAGCGGCATAAAGATTGATTGATGGAGAATAATTGACTTATTTTCTGGACGCTATTTCAATTCGGCCTACGCATATTTCATTTTTTTTTCCTGAAAATAAGCTATTATTAATTAGGAATTAAGATTCTTAATATTTTTTAATGAGGAGAGTGGCCTAATCAGATTATAAGTTCAGATTCTCAAACTTGTTTCTTGTTATTTGTTTATGCGTTGCATTGCATGGGTATTTTCCTTGTCATTTTATCAATACTTTCATTTGTAAGTCAATTAATTTTATTATATAAAAGGTAAAAGTTTCGTTTGTTGATCACATGACTTAAGCTGATTTCATAACTTCTTGATAGTATTTGCAGTGCAGCTAGGGCTGTTGAATTCTAATATCAGAACTATACCAATTTGGTGACTAGACTTCGACACAAAACAAGAACGAAATATAGAGAAAAGACTCCTCTATTGGTCTTATATATTTTATAAAATTCTTTCCCTAATCTCCAATGATAGAGGTTTTCTTAAGGTGAATTATCAACATTAGAGAATATTCTTGTCATTCCGGACAAGTGGAAGAAGCTAAATTACTTGACATATGATCTCTCTCAAAGTAATTATCAAGAATAAGTACAAATTAGCAGTAATAATTATCAAGAATGAGTACAAATTAGCAGCAATCTTCTTCTTTTATCCATTTTTTACTTTCTATACAAATTAAAACTCTTCATTCTTGTCCACAACATTTCTTTCAGTTTTCATATCAATGGAATCCTTCGATATTTGGACAATTGTAAACCGGTTTTATTCTAGTGTGTGTGATGCATATTAAAATGGAAAGAATGTTTTTTTTTTTTTTTTTTTGTTGTTATGGTCAATATTGGTTGAAAAATAAAGAAAAATTATTGATGTAATGAAAAATATTATTTTATTGAAAAATATGTATTTGAAAATGAATAGGAGAATGCGAATATATTTGTTTATGCGTTGCATTGCATTGCATGGGTATTTTCCTTATCATTTTATCAATACTTTCATTTGTAAGTCAATTAATTTTATTATATAAAAGGTAAAAGTTTCGTTTGTTGATCACATGACTTAAGCTGATTTCATCACTTTCTTGATAGTATTTGCAGTGCAGTTAGGGCTGTTGAATTCTAATATCAGAACTATACCTATTTGGTGATTAGACTTCGACACAAAACAAGAACGAAATATAGAGAAAAGACTCCTCTATTGGTCTTATATATTTTATAAAATTCTTTCCCTAATCTCCAATGAAAGAGGTTTTCTTAAGGTGAATTATCAACATTAGAGAATATTCTTGTCATTCCGGACAAGTGGAAGAAGCTAAATTACTTGACATATGATCTCTCTCAAAGTAATTATCAAGAATATGTACAAATTAGCAGTAATAATTTATCAAGAATGAGTACAAATTAGCAGCAATCTTCTTCTTTTATCCATTTTTTACTTTGTATACAAATTTAAAACTTTTATTCTTGTCCACAACATTTCTTTCAGTTTTCATATCAATGGAATCCTTCGATATTTGGACAATTGTAAACCGGTTTTATTCTAGTGTGTGTAATGCATATTAAAATGGAAAGAATGTTTTTTTTTTTTGTGATGTGATGGTGAATATGTAGTTGAAAAAGGAAGAAAAAATTATTAATATGATGTAAAATATTATTTTATTAAAGAATGTGTGATTGAAAATGAGTAGAAGAATGATAATGTGGCTCAAAAACTTGCGAAAAGATTATTGACTTCTATTCCGATTGCTATTTCAATCTGCCAGTCTTTCTTTTTCTATGAAAATAAGTTTAATTGCCATTGCCATAAATCCTTTGATTGTCCATTCAATGACAATTTCCCAGTACTCTGGTCATAATTTTTTTCCCATTGACAATGTAAGGAACGGCATAAGATAGAGTAGCCTCAGCGCTTTTCGCTTGATGAAGTGTTTAACAATAGATAAAGTTTTTCATTTTTATTTTTATGTCCTTATTTGTATGCACACGTCTTCTTCTTGCCTCGAATGATCTCATGTCTAAGATCACGCACTCAGGTAATTTTGGGGCCGATTTAATGAAAAACTATCGACTCTTGATACCATTGAAAAGAGATAGATGAAAATTGTATATCTTCTTGATGATTTTCTATACAAAAAGACCTGCACACAGACCACTAATCTTCTTGATGAATACTCTTTTAAAAATATTGATTTGATGATTATTGATTAGGATTCTTAAAATTTTTCAAATGAGATGATGGTTTAATGTTGTTTGCTTATGAATTGTAATCAGATTGTAATTTAAGATTCTCAATTGTCTTTAATGTTGTTTGCTTATGAATTGCCATTGCATGGGATGATGGTTTTGCTAATCATTTTATCACACTTTCATTAGTTAGATAATTAACTTTTTTGATAAAAGGATATCAATTTTATTTTTTATTATCAACTGCTTTCCAAGTGTATAACATTCAGTTATTTAAATCTGTAATTCCAATGATGTGTGGACCCACACAACTGTATTTCCTGCTTGCGTGAATTGTTGGGAACAGTATTCAAGGCCTTTCAGAGCTATTTTCAACAAATTCATATTTTGCATTTTATTTTTCAAAATTCAATTTTCAAGTTAATAGTAGGGGTGTCCAAAAGTCCCGAACCGAACCGAACCGAGTGGTTCTTCATAAATTAAATACCCGAACGGGTACCCGAATCGAGAACCGATGGGTTTGGGTCGGGTCTCGGGTCTAGACCAAGAACCGAAGAACCGAATAAGAACCGAAACTAAATAAATTTTTTTATTTTTTAT